AACTTTTGCCTTGCCTCCTCATGAAAGAGCTCTCTATATGGCTTGCAGTGCAAAATGCCCCCCCCCTCGTCGCCGAACTGCGCCCTGAGAAAAATCCGTGCAGGGGGAGGCTACTAACTGTCCCATCAAAGTCAAATATCGATTCCAGATTTTCCACATCAACTGCTTCAAATGTAAAACCTGTGATAAAACTCCTGGCAGGATCGTCATTCTACAACATTGAGAACAATCCCACGTGCGGTGAATGTTACAATGTAGGTTATTCCTCGTAATATTCTGTCCTTTTTGGGTTGGGTCTTTATTTTGGTTCTTAAGAGATTAGCTGTTAAGAGACCGTGTGACACCTCACTTCATCTACAGTACCTACGTTTTACAGAAAACACTCGAGAATTGCCACAAATGCCACCAAAAGATTACCGATCGCCTTCTACGAGCCCGTGGTGGTGTATGGCACGTGAACTGTTTCACTTGCGAGAGTTGTAAGAAATCACTGGATGGCGTTCCGTTCACCTCCGATCCGGAAAACAACGTTTATTGTGTGGGCTGTTATCAAGAGTGAGTTTCATTTGAAGTTTGAGACAAGCTACAGGCATGGTCCGCGATAGGAAGCCTAGGTGGTGATCTTCAAATATGGAAAAGAAGTTCCCAGCAGAAAAAATACCTCTAATCGAACACCTCTAGCCACAAGCATTCGTACGAGTACAATGCGAAAAGACCTCGTGATGGGTCGAACAAAGCCAACCGATTCCTTGGGATCTACCCGACCACATAAATAAAATTTAGGCTTAAATGTCACGCCACTCCTCTGGTAGCTAGTTTTCCGCAGAGAGAGACTACCTTCAGATGTAGGGTCCAGAGGCAAAGTCACCGGAAAAGGAAAAATTGATGAAGCTACTTTGCGCTCTAGTCCCATAACATTACAACTTTCCGCTGTAGTTGTCCATAGTTGTCCAATGCGGACCACACCTTCCAATCCGCGCCATCTTTTGCATTTTCATGCGTCAGCATTCTTTCGAGGTTCCGTAATGGAGACACAATCCGCGCTCGTCATATGGGCAGAGTCAGGCTAACTTTTGTGTCCCCCTCACTGTTGCCAACCCTTTCCTGGATTTATAATGAGGAAAGAAACGCCAACGAAGATTGGCAGTGATTCGTTAGCGTTTCTTTCCTTATTATAAATCCAGGAAAGTCAAAGGATAAGGTGACCTACCGCCGAATGCCCTTTCAAACTTGAGAACAGCTCTCCATAGACTAAAGGTTCGAGTCCGCCCAGACGACTACCGTTCACTTTGTCTTAAAGCAGCCTTGGTAGATATTACGGATGGGAAAGGAACAAAGCGGAACTTGCTCTTGATGACTGCAATAGTAGTGATGCAGAGTAGTAGAAACACTGACCATATTATCCATGATCGACTTTCAATGAATCTTGGCATCGTGTGAGGTCCTTCTGATTAGATTTTGTAACCACAGCCAAGATATTAACAACTTTTATTTGGCTTACGTTTCGGCCTTGTCGCCTTCGTCGGAGCCTGGAAAGTCAAAGATAAGGTGACCTACCGCCGAATGCCATTTCAGACTTGAAGAACAGCTCACCATAGACTAAAGGCGTCTGGGGAGGTCTCGTAGCTCACAAGCACAAACCAACTAACCTTATGAGAGCACGGCTAGCTTACGTCTCGACCACCGCTAAACTGACTCACTGTGGGTGGCTTCAGCTGACCCAGCCCTTCGACCCGAAGCCGATGGCGATTGAAGCCCACACAGGTCAGCGAAGGGGGCGAGCTCACTTGTTATGGCTAGGCATTCATCTTTCCTGTTCAACTTGGGGTTTTTGGCGCGTATCCAGAAGGCCTCCAAAGTTTTGCGGGCCGACGTGTGAGGCTCTCGCGACAAGATCCTGACAGAGACTTGGAACTCCGCCCCTCCGTGTGCGTCCACTCCTGTGTCCACCCAGGGGGGTCTGAGGCCTCGATTTCTCCATACCGTCCAGATGTTCCTTCACCCTGGAGCAAAGTGGCCGCCCAGTTTCGCCGATGTATTCGTCCCCACAGAGGATGCATGAGATCAGGTAGATCACACCTGATGCCATGCAGTCACCCTGCTTCCCATGTGGGCAGATAACACAATGGGGGGTGAGGCAAAACCGGTCGTACCAGCGATTGCGGACCAATTGCTGCTTAAGGGACGCGGGAGGGATCTCGACCACCCGGACCATTGTGTCGAGGAAACTAATCAGAAGGACATTGACCATACTTTAGAGGCACAAGCCGTGGTGGCGCACCATTGAGAAGGGGCGATAGTAAGTCTGACTCCGCCCACGCAATCAATGTGGACTGTGGCTTCAAAGGCACAAAGGACGATGCTTAGGTACTCAGCCAAAATGGAAGCAGGGATGATCAAGTAGTGGAAGAATGACGGGAAGAATCAAAAGATTTGTCGAAAATCTGCGAAAAGGCATTTGTTCTGCTCTGTGTGGACGAGTATACGGTCAACACAGAGTCGCTTAGACGAGTTCGTTGGTGGCACCATGTCAAAAACCGCAACGTTCAATATGGCAGCATGTATTTAAGCATACTTGCATGCACCATAGCATTCACCCTTTCTCATTTGTATGGCATAATGAAGTGATCAGAATATCACTACTGATGTGAATGATACTGATGTTTAGAGGCGGTTCTACTGGGGAGGGGGTGGTACTTCTCTCTAACAAGTTCCTGTTGAGTCACCCAACGGACCCTTCACAGTGATGGATTTCAAACATCCCAAGAGAGTGGCTTCTCTTTCTGTTAGGCTTTCCGATCCCCTAAACACAGTGAATATTTCGCACCTTGCAGTCGCACATGCTTAAAATGTTACGCAGCGTTCAGACTTCGCGACGGCAGCGTATCGGTCGCGCCTTTGACGCGATCGATACGCATGCTTTCGACTGCATCAATCGCATCGCGACCGAAGCGCTGCCGTCGCGAAGTCTGAACGCTGCCTTAGGGAATGGGGAATCAGAAAAAGGTGGAATCTAGTGGACAGCTGCTCCAGCGTAGACGGCTGAGTTTGGCTCCCTGGGGGATTGTATGGCAGTTAGTTAAGCTTCTACAAGCAGCCTTGTGAAAACCCTATAAATTCCAGTTAGTTAAGTAGCTCCCTCTTAGATTTCGCATTTTACAGGAGTTTACTGCTCTCCCCACAAAATGAGACCTGTTATATAACATGAACTAACAGAAGAAATCAGCGAAAATGCAATGCTCCCTCCAAACCAAACAGTATGGGGTGGACAAACCATGCTGTGACGCTGGCTCTCCTTTCAGGAAGTTCGCTCCTCGTTGCGCTGTATGCAACCAGGCAATTGTACCTCGTGAAGGAGAAAAGGAATCGGTACGAGTCATTGCCATGGACAAGTCATTCCATCCAGCCTGCTATAAATGCGAAGATTGTGGTATGCAGCTATCCAGTAAGGTAAGCTACCACCATCCATTATAACTTTCGAATATACTCGCCACAGAAGAGCAGGTATACCGGAAATTTCCGTCGGTTTCAGGTCGATGGCGCCGGTTGCTATCCATTGAACGATCACCTGTACTGCAAGGACTGCAACGTGAAACGATTACGTGCAGGACAGCATTGATAATCGTCTCCTCTCACCACTGCCACCACCCCCCCCCCTCATTCCTGCCCACCCCATTTCTCAAACATCCTCAGCCGTACACTTCAGATCCCTAGGTATGCGTCACTCTGTCGAATTATTCTCCTGATGTATATTTCCCAAACAGTACTAAAAGTCAGCAAAGCACTGTCACCTTGTCCAACCGTCGATCTTTAATGTCTATGTCAGAGCCTAGGAGGGGCTAAAACAACGCGTGAGCTTTTTGACTAGCCCTATTTCCTGTCAAAATCTTCTTCCTCACAGCCATTCTCTCCGTTTAGCATAATCAAATAACAATGACGTTT